CCAAGTAGTGATGACCAGTAATCAGTTCAGGAGAGGCCGAAGCTGGAAGGAAATCTGTGGGTCACCATGGGGTATTGAAGTTGTACATGGAGCTGCTTCTGGAATTATGTTCAGAGTGAGAAGAGTAGAAGGCTGAGAAAGGAACCCTGGGAAACGCAGACATTGGGTGGGGATGGAAGAGCAGCCTGCAAGGAAGACTCAGGACCAGCCACCTCAGAGGTCAGGTAGGGTAGGAGAGAGCAGTGTTACTGAAGCAGTGGTGAGGGGAGGGCCTTTTAACTTCAGTGTCTTCCTCCTCCTCTCTCTCTGCCAACTCCCAACTAAGTCAGCCTGGAGCATAGCAATTCCCACCACTAGCTAATACCTACCTCATTTCTTGCTAAGACTCCATTAATATCTAGTTACCTAGTTTCCTTACTCTTAACCTTACCCTTGTCAGGCAGCCTTCTGCGCTTCTGCCACACAGTCTATCTGAAATACTCAACGCTGCCAGAGGCTCCCCATTATCCTCAAGATAAAATCTGACCTTCCCAGCCTGGCATAAGATGCCCTTCATGATCTAGCTTGCTGTACTTGTTCTCACTTTCTGCTCCTTTTTCCCTGACATCCTCAAGTTCATGCATTCAAATTATTTGTCCTTTGTAGAAGGACACTTCTTTGCCTCCAGGCCTCTATAATGATTTCCTTACTACCTGGAATGACTAACTGTCCATGGCTCATTAAACACCACAAGATTTGGCTAAAGTATTACCCACCATCTCTACAAAGCCCTTTCTGACTTCTAGACAAAACCAGGATATTCTCTTAGGGCTGGCTTCCTGGTTTGTAGCATATCTCTAGTGTAGTCCTAATGACAGTACCTTGGAATTATCTCCTGTTTGTTTTCTCTCTCCAGCTTATGAGCATCTTAGAGGATAGTGGCTTGGAGAATTGTGGTTTGGATTCTTATGCTTATCCACAAGTATGTTTTTTTAATTCAGAAACCTTTATATTTAAGTCATTTGAAATATTAAAAAGAAGTTGAAGTAAATCCATCTGATTTTGGGTGTTTTTTAAGATATCTTTTTATTTTCTAACATCCAAAATAGGAATTAAGGAGAAAAGATAAATTCTGTGTTATATATATATATTTTTTTATTTTTATTTTATTTATTTTTTATTTATGATAGTCAGAGAGAGAGAGAGAGAGACAGAGACAGAGACAGAGAGAGAGGCAGAGACATAGGCAGAGGGAGAAGCAGGCTCCATGCACCGGGAGCCTGATGTGGGATTCGATCCCGGGTCTCCAGGATCGCGCCTTGGGCCAAAGGCAGGCGCCAAACCGCTGCACCACCCAGGGATCCCAATTCTGCGTTATATTAAATGAAATTTTATCTACCACCTATTTTTGTGGATGTGTATGTACTATAAAAAATTCTCATTGAACATTTCATTGCTAATTTAAGCTTCTATAATATGTAACATTGTTTCTGTGGGATAATCAGTTTTCAGTTGGTGTGAATTTCACTTATAGGACTCCTTTCAGGAAAGTAGCCTGTCCTAAGAGAAATCTTTTTTTTTTTTCCATAAGAGAAATCTTGATTCTTTTCTTTCTAGATGTAGAATGAACTCAGATTTTTTTTTAATTAATAAATTTTGGGGGTTTTATTTTTTAGAGAGAGAGTACATATGCACAAGTGATGTTGGGGGGAGGTGGTGCAGGGGGAGAGGGAGAGAGAGAATGGTAAGCAGATTCCACATTCAAAACTGAACCAAAATTAAGAGTCAGACACACAACTGAGTCTCCCAGGTGTCCCAAGAAACTGTTTTTTAGAGCAGTTTTAGGTTCACAGCAAAATTGAGTGGGAAATTCAGAGAATTTCTGAATATCCCCTGTCCCCACATCTATACAACCTCCCCCTGACCTTGACACATCGTTATCCCCCAAAGTTCATTGTTTATGTGAGGGTTCATTGTCGGTGTTGTACATTATATGGGTTTTGACAAATCTATAATGACACGTAGCTGCCGTTGCAGTATCATTCAGAATAGTTTCATTGCCCTAAAAATTCTGTGCTCTGCCTATTCAGGCTCTTTAAAAAGAAGTTTTCACAGATCTCAACACATGGTGATTTAAATTATTGTGTCCAGTGCTCTTGCATATGAGAGAACTAGATATAAATGCTTTAAATTCTTTTTGTTTATAGTTCTTGAACAACTACTTGAAAACATAAATGCCATAAAAATTATAGGGTTGATAAAAATCAAATTAGCAATCAGTATAACAAATGATGTTTTGCTGAAATTAAATGCCAGTATTAGGCTTAATAGGAGCACTTACATATTTTTCACTGGTTTGCTTTATTATTTCCATTTTAAGCATGGTGGATCATCATGGGAATAATCATTGTTGTTATAGATATTACTATTTTCAACCCAATCTGTTCTTTTGTTGGACTATTTTAATGGTACACTGCAAAAATAGCACTGAAAAAATATTTATTTAATGACAAGTTCTTTATTGCCAGTTTAAGGTGATATTTATTGCTATGAAGTGTTTGGAAATGGTTCATAAAAAGTAATCTGGCCAGTACAACTGAATATAGTACTAACCACTCTGGGATATTTTTTTTTTTTGAGTTTGACAGGTGTGTGTGTCCCTCTCTTCTCCATTCTATCTGCATTACTTGGCTTCAGCTTGTCACTAATAGGATTATAAATACGTACACAGAAGTGAGTACAGCAATCTTGTGGCAGCATTTACTTCTAAAGATGGTCATTCAGAAGATCTGAGATATACATAATTTTTTTAAGTTTAACCTGAAAATTAAAACAACTTTTAAATTTTCAGAGAACTCATGAATGAATATTCTCCAGGAATAAGTCCTTAGATCTAAGAAACTCATCTTTATTATAAGTACTATTAAAATTATATTTCTAATAACTAAGTTCATGAGACAGTAATAACATAGTATTTAAATAGATTTACAATATTTTAAAAATCCACACCAAAACATTGAATAGCTAGCCTAGTTTTAAACTTTTTAAGCTTGTTCCAAGTGTAAGTCACATAATTTTTTGCTATCAATGTTATTAAGTTCTTTATTTTAATTCAAACAGTATTAACAGGGATCCCTGGGGGGCGCAGCGGTTTGGCGCCTGCCTTTGGCCCAGGGCGCGATCCTGGAGACCCGGGATCGAATCCCACATCAGGCTCCCAGTGCATGGAGCCTGCTTCTCCCTCTGCCTATGTCTCTGCCTCTCTCTCTCTTTCTCTCTCTGTGTGTGACTATCATAAATAAATTAAAAAAAAAACAGTATTAACATACTGTTATATTAGTTTATTAGTGTTAGTTTATATTAGTGTTAGTTTATATTAGTGTTATATTAGTTTCAGATGTACGATAGAGTGATTCAGCAATTCTGTACATTACTCAGTGCTCATCATGATAAATGTGCACTCTTAATCCCCTTCATCTGTTTCACGCGTCCTCCCTACCTCCCCTCTGATAACCACCTGTTTGTTCTCTGTAGTTAAGAATCTGTTTCTTGCTTTCTCTCTCTCTTTTTTCCTTTGCTAATTTGGATTCTTAAATTCTACATATGAATGAAATTGTATGGTATTTGTCTTTCTCTGACTTATTTTGCCTAGCATTATACTCTCTAGCTCCATCCACATTGTTGCAGATGGCAAGATTTCATTCTTTTATGGTTGAATACAGTTCCACTGTATGTATATATGTACCATATCTTCTTTATCCACTCATCAATGGGCACTTGGGCTTCTTCCATAGTTTGACTATTGTAAGTAATGCTGCAATAAACATAGGGGTGTCTGTATCCCTTTGAATTAATGCTTTTGTATTTTTCGGTAAACACCCAGTAGTGCAATTACTGGCTGGGAGACTAGTTCCATTTTTAACTTTTTGAGGAGCCTCCATACTGTTTTCCACAGTGCTATCTATACCAGTTTGTATTCCCACAACAGTGCAGTGAGGGTTCCTTTTTCTCCATATCCTTGCCAACACTTGTTTCTTGTGTTTTTGCTATTAATCTGTTTTAAGTCTATATTTTGTCTGTTCTACATTCCCTCTACCCTTGTTCTTGTTCAATTTACTATTCCCTTTCCTTTACTAATATTTCTTATGACTTCATGGTTTTGGTGAGGCTATAGTCTCAATTCCCCGCTCTGGTCAGTTTTTTTTTTTTTTTAATTTTTTTTTAATTTTTATTTATTTATGATAGTCACACAGTGAGAGAGAGAGAGGCAGAGACACAGGCAGAGGGAGAAGCAGGCTCCATGCACCGGGAGCCTGATGTGGGATTCGATCCCGGGTCTCCAGGATCGCGCCCTGGGCCAAAGGCAAGCGCCAAACCGCTGCGCCACCCAGGGATCCCTCTCTGGTCAGTTTTGATATACTATCCATTCTCCATGAGTGGCCCATGGCTGAGCACATGACCCAAACTGGGGCAATTAAGAGTCTTTACCTAAGATTCTTCAGACTGAAAGCCAGTGGAGAGTGTCTTTTGTTCTTTGTGAATTAACCTGGGATGGCATAAGAGTTGAATTTCCTGAGGGCCACCTGGGTAGCTTAGTGGTTGAGCATCTGCCTTTGGCTCGGGTCGTCATCCTGGGGTCCTGGGATCGAGTCCTACATCGGACTCCCCATAGGGCGCCTGCTTCTCCCTCGGCCTATGTCTCTGCCTCTCTCCATGTCTCTCATGAATAAATAAATAAAATCATTTTTTTAATTGAATTACCTGAAAAATACCCACAGTGGAAGCCATTTGTAATAGGATAGAACCAGACTTAACAGGAAGGGCAAAGATACTAGGGCAAAGATACTAGGACAAAGAATCTTGGAGATGAAGTCTGCATCTTCAGCTGCATAATTATTTAAGTATCGTACATCAAATTACCTTTTTGTTAAAGTTAGTTCCAGTTGGGTTTTTCACTTGACACTAAAAATCATCCTTAAATAATCCGTATTATAATTAAAAAGAGTTGTTCTTTTTTACAGGTGAAGATGGAGCTGGAAAAACAAGCTTAATAAGAAAAATTCAGGGAATAGAAGAGTACAAGAAAGGAAGAGGGTTGGAATATTTGTATTTAAATGTTCATGATGAAGACAGGGATGGTGAGTATCATTTATATGTAAAACAAATTTCCTGAGGCCTTTCTGAGAGCACTGCTGCTCATATTAGTGACTTTTCTTAGTGTGTCATTTTTCAGTAGGAGTCCTAGTCTTTCATGCTAGTCAGTGAATAGTTATGTGCAGGCATATTTTAATTAGTTTGGAATTGAAATTCATATAGTGATTTTTTTTTTAACATCTTAAGGTAGTCTGGTGTGCAGACTAGCTTTCTTGCTATCCTTGACGAATCTAAATTTTTCAGTTAACTGCCCCCTCAGATAGTGAAATAATAGTATCCTAGTGTTGTTTTGTTGACTCCCTTTTCACCATCTCATTTTGTCACAAAAATGTCATCTACTCCCCAGCTTTTTTCAATCAGCCATTTTTTCTTGTATACATCACTTGCCTTCTCATTTTTGTGTATGATATCTTGAATATGAATGGCTATCTCTGCTGTTAAGAAGAGAGAGAGATTTTGATGCTGAGAATAGAAACGTAATGCACTCTGTTCATTGGGCGTGAGAAATAAGTAGAGGCTGCTGGTGTTCTATGTTGGCAGTTAAATCATTTTCCTGAATGTTTGTTAGGCCTTTACTAAATTGTTGGATGGGACCCTAAGTGGTTGAACCTGTCATCTAGGTCTGACTTCTAAATTGTGGACCTAAGTGGTTGGACCTGTCAGAGGAGACCTCTTCTGTGGAGGTGCCCTAAAATACCAAGTAGTATTGTTAGTTGGATAATGAAATAACTTAATCTTGTTGCCTTGGTAACTTTCTTTTGTCTGTTATAGATCAAACAAGATGTAATGTATGGATCTTAGATGGAGACTTGTATCACAAGGGCCTCCTTAAATTTTCACTGGATGCCATTTCTCTGAAGGACACTCTAGTTATGCTGGTTGTGGATATGTCAAAGCCTTGGACTGCTTTGGATTCTCTACAGAAATGGGCAAGTGTTGTTAGAGAACATATTGACAAATTGAAAATTCCTCCTGAAGAAATGAAAGAAATGGAACAAAAGTGTGAGTAGTCTAGAAATACTAATACAGATTTCAAACACTTGATGTCCTAGCAACCGTAATTGTAGGAATTTTTGACTTTGAATAAGGTTCAATGAAAGACATGTGACTACTGCTTTTGAAATTCAATTTGATGTGCTAGGTTTTTTTTTTTTTGCTAGATTTTAATGTAGTTTTAAATTGGAAACCTATACATAATGGTGGACTCTTTAGTAGAGGTGCCTTTTCTCCTTTGCCAAAAGGCCATAAATGTTTGTTTTGAGAAGTAGGTTTTTAGGGTTAAAAAATTTTTTTAAATCTTTCTTCAGCTGTTCATTTTCAGCAGTTTTCATTTCTTAATAAGTGGAGCAATTTTATCAGCCTTGTCAAAATGAAATGTGCCCCCAAAATGTTAACACAAAGATGTTAAGCTAGTTTTATGATTTACAAAATACATATTTTGTACCTACCCCTCTAAATTGGAAATTTTCAAGCGAATTATGAAAACGATATAGGTCATTTCTAACAAATTATAAGCCAGTTGTCACAGTTCTTAATTTCACTGAGAGCTCTTCATTTACCAATGTTGTACTTTGCTTAAGAAAATGTAGAGATGGAATGCTGCTTTTCTTTGTTATTGTGAGCTGATTATAATTTTTAGGGGAAAATTGATAGCTTACTGGAATTTGTATGCTAGGAAATTATAGAGGATTAGGAGAACATAGGTCCTTAGTCACTGAAAAAAATGTGTAACTGCTTTTACTCTATAGACTGTCTTTCCTGTTGGCCATTGCCTGTGGGTCTTTTATTCCCTAAATTTACACAATAGCAGCGATTCTCAATTTATGGGCCTGGGACCAGCAGCATCAGCATCAGTACAGCTGGGAACTTGTCAGAAATAATGCATTCTTGAGTCCCACCCTAAACTCAGTCAGTTACTCTATTGCCTTCTAAAACTTGAGAACCACTGTTAGATTTCAGCCTCTGATTTGAAGGGTAATAGCTACCAGGTCTGCTAAGGTTGTATGCATGCTGCTGTGTTCCTGGAGGAACTGCACTCAGCTGTTCAGGGTTCTCTCTTCCCTGACCCCATGTAAGTTTAAGACAGTTTTCCTCCTCTGTGGCTCTGTGTAGAATTCCCTCATGCACTATTTTAATCCTGTGCTATGGATAATTTGTTTCCAGTTTGTTATTTTGCTTTTAAACATGGAAAGCAGCCTTATATAGAAATCCTGCATCGCTGATTATTTCCTTGATAATTGCTCAAAGAGTAATCATTGAGTCAAGGTATACGTTGTTAAGGCTCTTAATACATTCCCATTAACTTTTTGTTAAGTGAAAGTTTTGACAGACTTGCAAATGAGTTCTAAAAATTTATCAGCATTGGTAGTATCTCATTAATTCTTACCAGGGATACAGAGTGAATATGGCCCAGCATTACACCTAGGTAAAAAGGAGACAGAAAAAAGGATTTAGAAAAAAGAATGTTGGAAAATCACCTAGGTCTGACTTCTAAATTGTGGAACACTGCCCCACCACCACACACACACTATTTGTTTATCCCCTTAGTGCCCTCTGTGAATTAGAGAACGTAGAGAGGCAAAGCTAGATAGTGACGTACCTAAAGTAATTCGTACAGACAGAATCAGGCTTGCATTGAACCCCACTCATTGAAGCCACTCAGTGTAATAATCTGCCTCCTCGTAATTAATGTGGATCTCCTCTTTCTGTCTTATCTTTGAAACAGATTTCTCAAACCCTTTTTGTTTCTTACATAAGACTGTGTATAAAGCCTCAAAATACATATTTAGATTATGGTAGAAAAAACTACCTGCTGAAATAAAGCAGTCTCTAAACTATGTGTTAAATTGTTTACCTTGATTTTCAGTGATTAGAGACTTCCAAGAATATGTAGAGCCCGGAGAAGATTTTCCAGCCTCTCCTCAGAGAAGAAATACTGGGTCACAGGAAGACAAAGACGACAGTGTGGTTTTACCCCTGGGTGCGGATACACTTACACATAACTTGGGCATCCCAGTACTAGTAGTTTGCACAAAGGTTAGCTTCCTTCCTAGAGATTCTACTACTGGTGTTAACCAAGGGTGAACAACTGTTTTGTTTTCCAGCCTCCTTTTAGAGTTGTCACACTAACTTTTCTAGATAATTTTTCTTAACAAATAGAAATAATATTTTAAAATATTGAATGATAATCACATGTTGGTTATGTGATCTTAATCATAGTTTCCTTTTTTTTTTAATCATAGTTTCCTTAAAAGAAAACGTTACTTCAGATATTCCGTGATTGAGTTTCATATTCCTAATTTCAATTAGACTTCAATGTCCAGTCATTTGAGTAGAAATAACTACAGGAAAGATGGTAATTTCAGTATTAATTTTTATAAAATACTTTCCACATTAAGTTGTGATATACTAATATGCTAATAGCAGAAGATTATGCACTTAAAATAACCTTAAACACCTACTGGCACTCATTATGTAAAGTTAATATGCAGTTATCAAGGTCTTTTTATTTATTTACTAAGGAGGTTCTGATAAGATTGCTGTTACCAAATTCTGTTTAGTTCCATCACTGTATATACTTTATGATAACATCAAATCTCCTTTAAAAAATAATTTCTAACTCAAGTTCATCTTCTTCCCATATGGTCCTAAGTAGTATCTTTATTGTTTGTAAGTTATGGAATGGTTTAGGAAATGACAGAACATATAAACCTTTTTGTGATCTAAAATTATTAATGTTTTTTATAACATAACAATTTGCACATGTAATTGAAGGGAGGTATGGCACTTACTCACCTTTGTAATGAAAATGATAAAAAAATTTAATCTAGCTTAAGTTTTATTTTAAACACTACAAAAATTATAACAAAGGGATGGGGTAGCATTTAAAACAAAATTTGTTATCTGCTTTTCAAATAGTGGTTGTGCTTTTCAAGTAAGTAGTTGTTACTTGCACCTTTTCTGTAAAACTTTTAAAATTCACACACTGGAATTATTTGGTGTGTGGTTTTTGTTTTATTTTGTTTGACAAAGAGCTATTTGTTGGTAGATACTTTCCCATTTTACACTACAACTTGCCTCTTATAAAAACCTCTTATTTTTCAAAGGAAAAATGTTAAGCTTAAAGGGACCTGAATTAGTATCAAATGAGTCAGATTCATAAAATTTTCAAGCCAAAAGAGCTTATTAGCCAGCCATCAGTTGTGTATTAGCTCAGGACCTTTTAAAATGTGTAGGGGGATGGGAGAGGTGTCTTAGGATGGAGAAATAATGGTGGTTCAATTCTACCTAAAGAGTCTGGAAATTGAGATTCAGAGAGACTAAGTGTCTTGCCTTAAGTCCAGATCCTCATATTTCATTTAAAAAATGTTTTTACTAAACTATTATGTTTCACCAAAATTGTCATAAGTCAATATAATAAATATATAACTATATATAATAATTATAAATATCTTTAGTAATATGAAATAATTACTCTGTGTTCTATAAAATAGACAAACATGCTGTATCATGATTATAGAGATCTTGTGTGATGTATATATGCATAGCAAAAAATTACATATCAGATTTGACCCCAAATTAATATTAAATATAATGAACATTATTAAATGGTTACTTTTAGATTTCACACCTTCAATTCCAAAAGGTGTTGAAGTAATTTGTATGTTTTATTTTTTTGTAACATTTTTCTGTAGCTAGCAGAATTAAGAATTGTTTCACTGACTGTACAAGTGACAGTTCAAAAATAGCCTGTCATTTCCCCCACCTTCTTTTTTTTTTTTTTTTTTTTTGCTGTTGATAAGATTGTAGTAAGAGTAAACAAAAGAACCAAAAAAGAAATGAAGGTCAATTAAGAAGTTACCAGATAAACAGGAAGCAAAGAGGAAATAGAGAAAGGTACAGACTCCTAGATATACCGTGTTTTATAGAACTGGCATAGAGTTTAGGTCTTTAAAACTTCAAGTCAAAAGGAGTTGAGTCAGCAAGTATGAGCGACCATTTGTTTGTCCTGTTACTCTTCATTCCTTTATGTACCAAAACTTTGATGTTTTCAACATTCAATAGAACGTGGACATCAATACTTTTAAAAAAATATTATTAGTCTTGACTGCAACTGAAAGAATCTAGACAGGAGTAATTGATATTCTAATATTCAGTCACCATATCAGAGTGGTAGTTTTGTGATATTCCCCCACCCAAAACTGAACTGTTTAAATCATTATATTTAACTTTGATTAAAGTTAATGTTGTTGGTTTTTTAAAATTATTTTAACTCAACAGTGTGATGCCATTAGTGTATTGGAAAAAGAACATGACTACAGAGATGAGCATTTTGATTTTATTCAGTCACATATCCGGAAGTTTTGTTTACAATGTATCCTTTTACTACATTGATCGGTGCAGTTGTACCTTAACCTGTTTGTTCGCTTTTTTAATTAAGAGAATTACATTGATGGACTTTAGAAATTCCATAAACTTTTTTCCTTCTGCTTCTGGTTTGAAATATCATTTTAGCTCCCAAATCATTTACATCTGGGTATTTTGAGTTATAAAAGCAAGTGTTGAAATATATAACTTTGATTTGCTGTGTTTTAAAGGATTATCAGTCTTTTGTGGAAAATTTTAATGAGTTGGTGTTGTAAACATTCTGATTGCAAAGCAGTGTTCATTTATTGGGAGTGGTGGTCAGGCAAGATCAATATTTAGGTTTGTGTGTTCTCATTTTTTAATATGTTCGCTATGTTACCATCTCCACCCATAGTCTAATGCAGTGGTTTCAAAATATGACTGTACCCTGCTTAAGGTTTACTGAATCGGAACATTTCAAGATGAGGCTGAAGAATCTCTTTTATTTATTTATTTTTAAGACTTTATTATTTATTTATTTATTTATTTATTTATTTATTTATTTATTTATTTGAGAGAGAGTGAGAGAGCACAAGTAGGGGGAGCGGCAGAGGGAGAGGCAGAAGCAGACACCCTATTGAGCCTGATGCTGGGCTCAATCCCAGGACCCTGGGATCATGACCTGAGCTGGAGGCAGATGCTTAACCAACTGAGCCACCCAGGTGCCCCCGAATCTCTGCTTTTAAAAAAGCTTTCTAGGTGCTTTTGATGATCACAAAGTTAGAAAACCTATTACAAGGCATCTTGTCTAGGTTGCAAGGATTAGAGGCCACTGAATAACAATAATGATTAAAAGAAGAATAAAGTGAGGGTTGTAAATGAATACTTTTAAGAGAATTTGCTATTGAAAACTTTGTCACTTGGGATTCCCTGGGTGGCTCACCGGTTTGGTGCCTTCTTTTGGCCCAGTGCATGATCCTGGAGTCCTGGGATTGAGTCCCATGTCGGGCACCTTGCATGGAGCCTGCTTCTCCCTCTGCCTGTGTCTCTGCCTCTCTCTGTGTCTCTAATGAATAAATGAATAAAATCTTAAAAAAAAAAAAGAAAGAAAGAAAGAAAACTTTGTCACAGCTTGAGTGCACTGAGGAGAGCTGTTCTCACCTACTCCTCCTGGTTGCATTCCTGAAGCAAAGCTTTTGGGTCTGAAAAATGAAGAAACGACGACATTAGGAGTAGATAGGAATCATAAGTAATGTATACATGTTTATAGGGTCTGTAGTTTTTCGTTTTCATTAATGGACACTTAATTAAAGGACCACTGAAACCTAGCTGGATAATGAATAAGATCACTTGACACTGGTAGTAGTTTCCCTTCCCCCTTTTCACCTCAGTACTTTGTCCTTTCCGTTGCCCTTTCTTTTCTCCTGTCATTTAATAGTTGACTTGGATTGAATTGAAGGGTATTTGTCTACAAAAAGAAGACAAAAAGTGGGAGTAATTGAAGTAGATGTCTATAGAGTTTTTTGTTATCTTTGAAGATTAGCAAATTTGGGAACAAGCAGTCTTTTTTTTTTTTTTTTAAGATTTTATTTATTTGATGGAGAGAGTACAAGCAGGGAGAGCAGCAGACAGAGGGAGAGGGAGAAACAGGCTCCCCACTGAGCAGGGAGCTAAATGTGGGGGCTCCATCCCAGGACTCTGAGCTCATGATCTGAGCTAAAGGAAGACGCTTAACTGACTGAGCCATTTAGGCACCTCAACAAGCAGTCTCTTTAAACATTTATTTAATGCTGTTCTTGAAAATGTACATACAGAAATGTAATCAGGAAGGAAGACTGTCTACTAAAATAACTACAGACAGGGTTCCTGGGTGGCTCAGTGGGTTAGGCATCTGCCTTTGACTCAGGTCATGATCCCAGGGTCCTGTGATTGAGTCCCATGTCAGGCTTCCTGTTCAGCAGGGAGCCTGCTTCTCCCTCTCCTGCTCCCCCTGCTTGTGCTCACTCTCTTTGTCAAATAAATAAAATCTTTAAAGGGGCACCTGGGTGGCTTAGTGGTTGAGCATCTGCCTTTGACTCAGGTCATGATCCTGGGGTCCTGGGATTGAGTTCTGCATCAGGCTCCCCAGAGGGAGCCTGCTTTTCCCTCTGCCTATATCTCTGCCTGTGTGTATCTCTCATGAATAAATAAAAAATTTAAAAATCTTATAAGAAATAAAATCTTTTTTAATAAAATCTTTAAAAAATAAATTAACTAAAATAAAATAATTACAGACCTTGAGTAGAGCCCATTGATTTTAGAATACAAACTGAGAAGTCACTTCAAGATGGTGAGGGGTGTATGTGTGTATCTGTGTGAAGGCAACAGTTCAAAATCATCTTTAAGTTTTGTAAATGTTTACTGCAATGCAAATTTGTCAGCTATTTCATAAATTGGTTCTCATGAGAAAAGATCACTCGTTAATGAAAAGTTCACACAGTTAAGCTTTTAAGATGTTTGTTTCTATCAAGTTTTATAAGCCATATTTAGCAATACCACTCTTAGATTCATAAGCCTTGGTTCACACTCATGAGTATCCCAGCTCAGAAGTAGAAGTTTGACCATTCCCAACATTTCTCCTTGGTCTGAGTCATTATCTCAGGACATAGTGGGCAGTACTAGAGCATGGTCCTTAGCAGTGGCTGTAGAATTTCTGATAGCCACTCTGACCACACCTCATCTGTCAGTAGTCATGTTGCCCCTTTTCCACAGGCCTCTCTTGATCTTTGGATCTACTGTATCATTTGGCTAAGAGGTCCAAGTTAGAGTCGGCTTTAACTAATACATCCTTATGTGAGGTGGTGTTACCTCAAGTTTTGATCATGAAATCAACTTTTGCTTTGAATCTTGCCTGAAAGTTTCCTGAAAGTACCTCTTGCTTAATCATCTCTCTTCAGTGGGTCTCCTGAGCTTTGCTCTTCAAGTCCTAATTCCTGTGACTAGTGAAAACCACAAGAGATACTAGTGGACACCATTTTTTTTAATATGCAAGCAAAATAGTTATCGATAAATAATAGCTCTCCATGAGGATTAGGAAGGTTAAACACAAAGCAAATTACCTCTTGTGCTTTAAATGTAGAGGTAGTAGCAATGTCAGTATTATGAAATTTACCTTTATTTTCTTGGCTTAATGAGACTTTTGCCTCCTAAATTAAGTTCAGTTTTGTAAAGATTGCTGTTTGCATTTTAGCCTATCTATATTCTGTACTTTTGAAATTGATTACCCTCTAATGTACCTTTGGGAACTATTTTTGAAACCAATATGCATGTAAATGTTAAGTTGAGAACACAGAATTTTATTGTATCTGTTCATGGAATTTGTCCAAAAATTTCTTTAACAGCATTATTCAGATGGTGCAGCGCTTATTTACACTTCAGTAAAAGAAAATAAAAATATAGATTTAGTATATAAATATATTGTTCAGAAACTGTATGGATTTCCCTATAAAATTCCTGCTGTTGTTGTGGAAAAAGATGCAGTATTTATGTAAGTATACTCATAAGTGTATTGTTTTATCATGTGTCATTGCTGCAATTTGATGGTGAATCCTCATGTTTGGTTTTGAGGTGAGACCCAATAGACCTTTCCATGATGCACAGGTGAGAATCTCTTCCTAGATTGATTTATTCATAACCTGCCTTGATCAATTTATTTTTGCCTGTTAGATTTATTGCTGGCCTAAGCCCTTTTTGGAAGGCCTTACTATTATATATATAGCTAAACTGTTGAGTGCATATCTCAGTGTATTTACTTACTCTTTGATTAGTTTTGATACATAAAGGACCCAGTGTATAAACATGCTTTTAAAAAGTTATGTGAAGGGCAGCCCCGGTGGCTCAGCGGTTTAGCGCCGCCTACAGCTCAGGGCATGATCCTGGAGACCCAGGATCGAGTCCCACATCAGGCTCCCTTCATGGAGCCTGCTTCTCCCTCTGCCTGTGTCTCTGCCTCTCTCTCTGTCTCCTCTCTGTGTATTCTCATGAATAAATAAATAAAATCTTTAAAAATAAATAAAAAGTTATGTGAATACATTGAGAGGTAATAATAATTAACCCCCCCCCAAACTGTGTGTTTTTAAAATCAGGAAGATTAAGAACCTTTTTAAGTAGAAATCAGTAAGCTATAACTTGAGCATTATAATAAAAAAAGAAAAAAAAAAGAAAAAAAAAAGAGAAAAAAAAAAGAAAAAAATAATAAAAAAAGAAACTGATTAGTTTTGGATTTTTTTTTAAGATTTTATTTGGAGTCGAGAGAAAGAGAGCATGAGCAGGAGTGAGGGGCAAAGGGAGAGAGAGAAGCAGGCTCTCCACTGAGCAAGGAGCTGGATGCAGGGCTCAATCTCAGGCCCCTGGGATCATGACCTGAGCTGAAGGCAGATGCTTAACCTTCTGAGCCATCCAGGTGCCCCAAAAGCTGATTACTTTTTCATAATTGGTTAGATACGTTCCCTTTAATGTGATCATGGGTTTAATGAAGGAATGACAATATAAATGTTTGAGATTTATCATATGCATTTCTTTTCCAGTCCAGCAGGGTGGGATAATGATAAGAAAATAGGAATATTACATGAAAATTTTCAAACATTAAAAGCAGAAGATAATTTTGAAGACATTATAACTAAACCACCTGTCCGAAAGGTAACAGTTTTAGTATGTATAGTCTTTTAAACCTGGTGGTGGTGGTGGGGGGGAGTTCCATAATTTTAAGTTAGGTAAGAGGATCCTTTCCTATCAAGAGCTTTTCTAATTATAAATTGGATGTTTCCGATGTCAATTTAAAATAAAGATCTGTGTTATCAAAATATAAACTAGCTATTCAGTTAATGAATTCTTAGCCTTTGGCATATTTATATTAGAAAATAGTACAGATTCCATATTCTAATGGAAATAATGGATTGGTTGTAGCGAATATATGGATCTTGAAGAGTTTGAGTAGGTTGAAGCTGTGAACTTTCCATCCTAGAACTCAGCCAAAAGCCAAGAAAACATTGTTAGAATAAATATTAGCTTCTATCTGTTAAGGGAGATCTGGAATCTTCTCCATAGTTACTAGTTAACCTGTGGTAGCCCACAGCTATCCACAAGCTTCCAGTTTAGTCTTAATTGTTGTATGTTATTCATAGAACTATTTAATCTTTCAGAATTTTGATTTCTCTTTCACATATTTTGATTTCATGTTAAATAATAGGTCATGTTCTATAGTCAGATATTACAGATGTTTCCAGAAAGTTGTATAAAAATAAGTTTATAAAAATAATAATAATAATAAGTTTATATATAGTACTTCTCAGTGGCTTTTAAGTGGATATGCTTTAGGAAAAATAATTTTCATTTAACATGTAATAAGATTTTTACTAAAAATCGAAACATTGATATTGAGCATCTGTCCTCTGTGGGTAATTAGAAACAAGAGAATTAATGACAAGTGAAAAATCACTTGGCATGATATTTGGTATAGATGTCTCTTAAAAGAAATACACACGTCAAGGAAAAAAAACAACAGCTGTTTTTCGTATTCTCTTTTACCAGGAGAATTACGCTGTAGGTTGTCTTTTATTCATCCCACTAATATCTCCTGAGCCCCTGTTTAGGCACTAGGTGCTAAATAGGGCAATACTACAATAATAAATCGGTGCACGTGCCAGTTCTCAAGTGCTGATAAGTGCTGTGTCTATAAAGCCCAATGGGGGAGAGTGAGGGAGAGCAGTGGCACATGGAGGGGTGCAGTTTTAGAAGGGGTTAGGGAGGGCAGCCCCAGTGGCGCAGTGGTTTAGTGCCGCCTGCAGCCCAGGATCGAGTCCCGTGTCGGGCTTCCTGCATGGAGGCTGCTTCTCCCTCTGCCTGTGTCTCTGCCCCCCTCTCTCTCTCTCTCTCAATAAATAAATAAAAAATCTTTAAAAAAAAAAAAAAAGAAGAAGAAGAAGGGGTTAGGGAATGGCTCTGTATGCTGATGGAGCAGAAAATGCCCATGTCCTGAGGCAGGAATGTATTCAGAGGGCAAAGAGGTTGGAAAAGAGTGAAGAAGAGGGCCAGGCTGATAGGAGAAGGAAGGCGTAGTTAGGACTTTGAATTTCATCTTGAGTGAGGTAGAAAGCAACTGGAGGCAAAGTTTGAGCAGAGGAGTGATAAAGGAAAAGGATTGCTCTGGCTGCTGGTAGAAAATAGACCCATGGCATGCATTGTACAGAAAGAGTAGAAGTGGGAGATGGTTGCTGCTGCTTTTTGCCTGATTATTCTGCAGGTAGAAGAGCCATTATATTTTTATTTCAGAGAAACCAGGGGCAAGTTGCTTTTCACTTTTAAAACACCTAACTATTGGTTAGCATATTTTATAAGCATGACTAATATACCTAGGACTCTAAGGTTGTGCTGTCCAATACAGCAGCTACTAGTCACATGTAGCCTAAGAACTTACTAAGTAAAACTGGGCTGCCCGGGTGGCGCAGCGGGTTAGCGCCGCCTGCAGCCTGGGGTGTGATCCTGGAGACCCAGGGTTGAGTCCTACATCAGGCTCCTTGCATGGAGCCTGCTTCTCCCTCTGCCTGGGTCTCTGCCTCTCTCTTTCTGTGTGTGTCTCTCATGAATAAATAAATAAAATCTTAAAAAAAAAAAGAACTTATTAAGTAAAACTGAATAAAATTAAAATGTCAGTACCTGAGTCACAGTAGCCACATTTTCTCTCCATCTTTCTCTCCTCCTCCTCCTCCTCCTCCCTCCCTCCCTCCTTTCTTTCTTTCTTGCTTTCTTGCTTTCTTTCTTTCTTTCTTTCTTTCTCTTTTTCTTTCTTGAGAGAGAAAGGGTGTGAGGTGGAGGAGGGACAGAGAGAGGAGGAGAGCGAGGTAATCTCAAGCAGGCTCCACACTCAGTGTGGAGCTGGACGTGGGGCTCGATCTCACGACCCAAGATCATGACCTGAGCTGAAATCAAGACGTGACTCAGATGGTTAACCTATTTAGCCACCCAGGTGCCCCACAGTAGCCACATTTCAAATGCTCAGTAGCTATAGGTGACTGGTGGCTACAGTATTGAACAGCACAGCTATCAAACGTTCATACTTTTGCAGATCATTATTGAACAGCTTTACTGTAGGAACTTGGGTCAGGCAGCTCACTTATGTAAATATAATTTGATAATGTTTATATTGAAAAATCTTTTTTTTAATCTAGAGAGTATGTTATTAATAGTTTCAGCGTAATATACTAGACTTGCTCATTTATGCATTGCTCATTTCAGTTTGTGCATGAGAAGGAAATTGTGGCAGAAGATGACCAGGTGTTTCTTATGAAGCTACAGGTATGAAATTATATCAGAAGCAGGTTTAGTATTGTTAGTGGGTAAACTGCTCTTATATATTTTTAAAACTATAGCAATACATGCTGTTAGTTTCTAACCTAGGACTCTCTTGTGTTTTTCAGTCCCTTTTAGCAAAGCAACCACCAACTGCAGCTGGAAGGCCTGTGGTCAGTATTACAGATTTTGACAAAATTATTAAAGTGCCGTACATTATTGGTTTAGTTTCTTTTTTCCTTAATCATAGACATGTCTCATATGGGTGTGCTTTGATATAAATTTGAATCAAGAATTCTTTTGGAATTTGTGACATTTTAAAGGATAAACCACTCATTTTAAAAATATTTAAATCCTAAAGATCCATTTTGTCTTGTCACACAGCAGTTACTATGTGGAAACGTTTATATGTGTTACTGTATAAATCTTCACAACAGCCCTGTGAGGCAGGTACTACCAGCCCTATTCTGCAGGTGGGGAAGTGGAGGCCTTGGAGGACCTTATAGCTTGACTGAGATTTTATCTAGTAGGATGAAAGTTCAGATTGGAACCCGGATCTGACTCCCATGCTTATACTTGTAATCACACTCCATTATTCAATATGTTCTTTTTTCATTGAAGGAGAATTTGTATTCTAAATGTGATGGGTCTCTGATATTTTCTGATATTGAGGACATGATTGCTAAACATTTCCAGCAGTGGCTTGTAGAATAAAAGTACCAGTAGAACAGATGGGGGACAGTTAAAAAGTAATTTCTTTTTATAATAACTTTTGTGAAGTTGGATGTTTCAGGTTTTGATGATTATGGCTTTCTTATTTTTCATAGGATGCCTCACCAAGAGTCCCAGGAGGCTCCCCTCGAACACCAAACCGATCTGTGTCATCCAATGTTGCCAGCGTGTCACCCATCCCTGCTGGGTCCAAAAAAATTGATCCAAACATGAAAGGTACATTTTCTCTTTTCCTAGGAAAGACAACACAGTACATTTCACACTAAAAGGAAATCTACCTACCTTCCCACTTTTCCATAGCTGTTTTCATTTTTGTGCAATAGCTTCTAATCTTTGTCTCTGTTGATATAATCTCATAGTTAATCAAAATTCAAACTTTTATAATATGTCTATGGTATAAGCTTTATGAAAATTTTGTATTACATTTAATTTTTCTCCTATGTAGACCATTGAAGAAATTCATGTTAATACATAAAAAACTATAAACATAATAAATTGCCATAAGTGGGATTAATAGGTGAGAGTTTATACGTTTTTTTTTTGTCTTTTAATAATGTGTTTCGAATGGCTTATTCAATTTACAAGTCAACATTGAGTGTTGCAACTTTGCCACAACCTAATCAGCATTCTTTAAATACTAGTAAGAGCTTTGTCCCTGGTATTGCCTTTCTACTTGTATTTTCCTCCTGTGAATTGTTTCATGTTATCCTTTACCCTTTTATCTCTTGAAACTTCTACCTGTTTTCATAAAGGCTTAGGTAGCGTTTTGTAATATTTGAGGCAGACATTTCTCAACAATTACATGTTTGAAGAACTTTTGTCAAAAGGAAAGTATAGCAGCATCTAACATCCATTTAAATGCTTTTAGTTTTTAAAAATAACATTCTGGGGACGGCTGGGTGCTTCAGTGGTTGAGCATCGGCCTTTGGCCCAGGGCGTGATCCCAGGGTCCTGGGATCAAGTCCCGTGTTGGGCTGCCCACAGGGAGCCTGCTTCTCCCTCTGCCTATGTCTCTGCCTCTCTCGTGAATAAATAAATAAAATCTTTAAAAGAATAATTAATAAATCATTCTGATTTTTTTAAATAATTATATTCTTAAAGCTTACTGATACTTTGTTTTACATATGAATAGATTAGAGAGTCTTACCCTGGCTCAAAACCAGACTTGAGTTTAGAATACACAGCTCTTGGTACACCTGGGTGGCTCAACGGTTGAGTGTCTGCCTTTGGCTCGGGGCGTGATCCTGAAGTTCCAGGGTCGAGTCCCAACATCAGGCTCCTGCAGGGAGCCTGCCTGCTTCTCCCTCTGCCTCTCTCTCTCTGTGTCTCATGAATAAATAAGTAAAAAAAAAAAACAAAAAACAAAAACAAAAACCACAGCTCTTAAATTTTAAGTATTAATTAATTTTAAGTATTATTATGTATGTGATTACTATAATAATTTATAGAAGAATCTGATGTTTTGAGTGAAAGTTTTTTGGCTTTTGTTTTTTCAATAGCTGGAGCTACAAGTGAAGGTGTCCTGGCAAATTTCTTCAATAGTTTGCTGAGTAAAAAGACTGGTTCTCCCGGAGGCCCTGGGGTTGGCAGTGGTAGCCCTGGAGGTGGAGCTGGAAGTGGAAGCAGTGGTTTACCACCATCCGCCAAAAAATCAGGTATAGTTACCGAGAGCTTTTTTTTTTTTTAATAGCTTTATTGAGATATAGTTTACATACCATGAAGTTCACTCATTTAAAGTATACAGTTCGGTATTACAGTATATTTACAGAGTTATGCAAACCATTATGATCTATTTTTAAAACATTTTAATCTTCCCGAAAAGAAACCTCTACCTTATTTGCAGTAATGTCTTTTTTCCCTCCTAATCTCCTAGTCTTAGGCAACCACTGATCTGCTTTGTCTTTGTGGATTTGCCTATCTGGAGATTTCATATAAATGGAATCATACAGTAGATGCCTTCTTTAATGTTTTCAAGGTTCATTCACATTGTAGCATTTATCATTATTTCATTCCTTTTTAATACTGAATAAAATTCCATTTATGCATATGCCACATTTTCTTTGTCTACTCCTCAGTTGATAGACATTTAAACTGTTTCCAATTTTGGCCCTTATAAATAGAACCACTGTGAACATGTGTTTTTGACAAATATTTGAAAATGACATATGTTTTCATTTCTCTTGGGTATATACGCAGGAGTGGAATTGTTGGGTCCTGTGGTAACTCTGTGTTTGAGTTTTTGAAGAACTGCCAAAGTGTTTTGCAAAACACTGCATTGTTTTATATTTTCAACAACAGGGAACAAGGGTCCCAATTTCTCTACATCTTCTCCAACATTTGTTTTTGTCCATCTTTTTGATTAGAGCCATCCTAGTGGCTATGAAGTCATATCTCATTGTGGTTTTGACTCTTGCATATCTTTGATAGCTAATGCTGTTGAGAATCTTTTCAAGTGTTTATTGACCATTTGTAGATCTTTGGAGAAATGCCTATTCAATCCCTGCCCGTTTTTAAGTTGGATTATTTATCTTTTCATTGTTGAATTTTAAGTGTTCTTTATGTATTTTGTTTACTAGACCCTTATCAAATGTACAGTTTGTAGATGTTTTCTCCCATGTATTGTCCTTTCACTTCTTGATGTCTTCTAAAGCACAAAAGGGTTTAATTTTGATGAAGTCCAATTTATTTTTCTTTTTTATTTTATTTTATTTTATTTTTTTATTTGTGATAGTCACAGAGAGAGAGAGAGAGAGGCAGAGACACAGGCAGAAGGAGAAGCAGGCTCCATGCACCGGGAGCCCGATGTGGGATTCGATCCTGGGTCTCCAGGATCGCGCCCTGGGCCAAAGGCAGGCGCCAAACCGCTGTGCCACCCAGGGATCCCCAATTTATTTTCCTTTTGTTGATTGTGTAACTGCCCTTTATCAGACTTTTAACCCATTTTCCTTTTAAATCCCATCTTCTTGCCACCGTTTTCACAAATACCATTGTGCAGTTACAATTTTTGGTACCTTTTACAGGTTTTTGGGTGTAAAGTGAATTGCTTTTTGGCTTTTCCCACTGCCAGTATAGAAGAGTAAGCTTTCCCAAGACTGCTAATATAGTTACCACACATTCATATTCTTTGTGCATTCTAAAGTTTTGTTGCTATTTTCTGTTTTACTGTTCTTATTGTTCTGTGCCTTTTTAAAAAATATCTTTATGAGATTAAGTGATAGGTGCTAGTTTTACTTCCATTTGTTAACAGACCCTATGAGGGTTTTTAAAAAAGTTTTCTTCGAGAGGATTGATTTTTAAGGATGTTTATATGACTTAGTATGCTAGATAAAGTTAATGAAACTGTCGGCAGTTTTTAAATGAGACATTGACGTAAAAGATACTTTGACTTCTATCTAAATCTTGATTTTTTTTTCCCTTTAATGTAGGCCAGAAGCCTGTCCTATCAGATGTTCATGCAGAACTAGACAGAATTGCACGCAAACCGGTTACAGTTTCTCCTACAACACCTACATCTCCTACGGAAGGAGAAGCTTCTTGAAGATACCAAATAAAGCCATTTATTCAGTTTTCTGGGATAATGTAAACTTGCCTCTGCCTTCTCCTTCAAAAGTGGAATTAGGGAACTGGAGTGCTTTTTCAGATGGACTAAATTTATTTCTTTTTTCTTTCTTTCTTTCTTTTTTTTTTTTTTTTTTTGTGTGTGTGTGGTTGCCCATTTTTATAAAAGGAAGCTATACAGAAGAAAAATTATTCTACACTATGTAGGATTGCTGTTTGCATTGCCACTTTGCATAAGGAAATAATTTTGGATTTTGAAAAACTCAGAATTTATAGATCTGAAATACAGCCGTGTGATCATACTTTAAAGGCTATTTAAAACATAGGAGGGTTTAGGAAAGGGCAGAAAATAATATGCTTTGGGCATTTGACTGACTTGGAAGTCCAAGCATACTTTAGTTAAGACTATTAAAATAATTTGAAAATTTATGTATTAGTTTTGCTGGAAAGGAGAAAATGACCAATTGTCAAATTTTCCACACCAGTGTAAACAACCACCACACATGGGATATGCTGAGAAAACTATCAGATAGCGTTTTATACACTAGTCATTGTCTCACCCATGATCCTGTAAGTTGTCATCAAAATATGATTTTGAAATATTGGCCAAGATTCATTTCTTTAACTGAGAAGAAAAGAAAGCACACTGCCTAAATGCATAAAAGAAAAATGCAGAGGTTATTAAAATGTAAAGAGGTAACAGTCTTTGGATTTGTCTATCTATATCTGTATTAATATATAGATATAGATATATATATGGCTCTGCCTTAATATACCCCTTTTTTGTTTGTGACTTTCAACTGTAATCAGTTAATAAAGTATTTATTCTCTGCATTCAGGTTCAAATAACTTGTTGCATTCTCTTATACATAATTTGTATTTATCAGACAATGAATATAAGATTCATTAGTATTTTGAGGTGTTTGACGTAATAGGATTATTAAGCATTCTGATCTTTGTGAGAGACAAGTGAATACGTGGTATTCACTATCCTGTAAGTTTCCTTAAGTTGGAAGTTTACCGTGATCAGCACATCTTCCCCACAAGCATGTCTCAAGCTACAGAATCATCAGCATTTCTAGTAGATAAAAAGGTAGCCTTTTATCATTATTGGGCAGAAGCTGTTTTAAAAGCTTGGCAAATGCACTGACACATATGTCCTCTCTTACAGGTGAGAACACCTGTTAGTAGTTAAACCTGATTTTTCAATACTGTTTTTAAATGCTTGTTTTAGAAACTTCATAAGAACAGTTTGACTTCTTACTGAAGTTCAGCTAGAGAACACATGCACATTTAACTTACATTACATTTAACTTATCATTACAGATAATGGGAAAAAATGGCCACTGCCCTTTACATTGGCCTTTGTTATTACTTTATATATTCCAAAGATTTTTTTTTTCAGCAAAATGTTTGAGGACAATACCTCTACTATCTAACGTAATCCTTTCATTAAAATTTTAAAATCTTTACTTTTGAATAGCATTTGGCTCCTAATAGTTGAATATAAATGCTAAAAATACATGAGAGGGTAATAATTTGTTTCAGGGTGGGAAAAACTTAGGCTGTTCATGGGCATGGAAAAATTAATTTGTAAAAACATTTTGAGGAAATATGAAAAATGCCACTGATAGAATCTTTAGTCTGGAAAGGGTTCTGCAGTCATGGTGGTGTAAAGACCAATTTTTATAAAGTAGTACATGATGAAGTAAGCAAGACTAATGAAAGAAAGAAAAATCTCTGACTGTACATCATGGTATACTTTGATATGTCTGCTGTGTTTGCATGTCTAGGCTAACTCGTTCTTTTCTGTATGACATTGGAGATGTACTAGAAAATCCTTGGAATTGAGTCATTAGCTGAAATAATTGTAATCGTTCAGTTTATAGGGTATTCGGTTTTAAAACCTTGTGTTACCATGTTTAAATCTTAAACTGATTTTTGTCCCTATTTTTTGCAAGGAAATTTGTTTTTAAACTATTTAAAACTTTTTTGTTTTTAGGCACTTGTTATTGAAGTATACAATAGAGAAAAGTATACAGATATCAGGTTATATGGATTGAAATACCAACTAATCACTAAGATCAAGGACATTACTGGCATCCCATATGCTTCCTATGTGCCCCTTATCAGCACCTCTACCCACCAAAGGATCACAGTCCCCACTTCTACAACCATAGATAAGTTTTATTTATTTTTAAGCTTTATATACATGGGATCTTAGAGTTTATGTTCTTTTTTGTGCAAGGCCTCTTTCAGTATTAGTTCTGTGACACATCAACAAATGCATGTAGCAGTAATTATCCATTCTCATTGCACCATAATATTCCATCCTGCAAATACATTATAATTTATCCATTATCCTATTGATGGATGTATATTAGATTCCTCTTGCTGCTGTAACAAAGTTACCACAATTTAGTGGCTTAAAACAATACAAATTTGTTATCTTACTATCTGGCGGGCAGAAGTCCAAAATCAGTCTTACTGGACAGAAATTAAGGTGTCAGCAGTGCTGATTTCTTTTGGAGGCTCCAAGGAGCATCTATTTCCTTCCTTTCCAGCTTCTAGAGGCTGCTTGGATTCTTTAGGTTCTCGGTCCCTTCTCCATCGTCAAGGCCAACAGCATAGCATCTTCAACTGGGTGCTTCCATCTCATTGTCTCTCACGCTGAACCTGCTGCCTCCCTTGTGTCAGCATCCATGTGATTAAGTTGGGCTCACCTGAGCAATCCAATGTAAGCTCCCTCAACACTTCACTCTCCTTACTAACATGATTTCTGAAGAGAAATTGAGTCTAATTCTAATCTTTGCTCCTCTATGGGCATTTTTTCCCCTTTTGGCTTATTTCAAGATTTTGTATCTTTGATTTTAATGCAGTTTGATATATTATGCCTAGGTGCAGTTTTGGGATTTATCCTTCTTAGTGTTCTGTGAACTTTCTGGATCTGTGGTTTAGTGTCTTGACTAATTTGGGGGAAATTCTCAGTCATTGCTTCAAATATTTTTGCTGTTCCTTTCTTCTGGTACTTTCATTATATATATGTTACATCTCTATAGTTTTAGGATATTCTATTCCTTGCCCTACCCCCCGACCTTTTTTCTCTTTGCTTTTTAGTTGGAAATTTCTATTTATATATGTTGTCACTCAGAGATTCTTTCTTCAACCATGTTCTGTCAACTAGCCCATAAAAAGTATTCTTCATTTCTGTTAGTTTCTTTTTTATTTTAATTCTAGCGTTTTTTATTTTAACTCTAGGGTTCTTAGAATTTCTCTCTGTTTATATTATCCATCTGTTCTTGCACATTGCCTACTTTTTCTGTTAGATCCCTTAATATATTAATCATAGTTGCTTTAAATTCATAGCTGGATAACTCATTTTTGCCATATCTGAATTCAATTCTGATGTTTGCTCTGTCTCTTCACAGTACTTTTTGCCTATTTCTATGCTTTGTAATTTTCTGTTGATAGCTGGACATGATAAAAAGAACTCCAGTGAATAAACTGTTAGTAATGTGGTGGGAGAGTGTTAGGGGGAGGGGAAGCATTCTGTAGTTCTGTGATTAGGTCTCAGTGAGCCTGTGCTCCTGGGCTGTGAACTTCACCGTGCTTCTCATACTCCCATCTTCACCCCCAAGCCCCTTTTCTGGTGGGACAGGATGGCTACATGCAGAACACCAGGAGATTTTTCTCTAATTTTCCCTTTGAGATCCTGGAGAGTAAAACTCAAAAAAGTGTAGGGAACCCCCTATGACTGGGGGATTTCTAACAGACTTACCTACTCAGTCTCCAGCAACTTGTCAGTTACAATTCAGGCTTTCCTACCCCAGTACTGTCTCCCTCATATTTCTGCTTGGGAGTTTCTAGTTAAGCAAGTTGTTATTCTATGTCCACTTGCAAATCTCCCACCTGGGGATAGGGCTTGGCCCTGGGACTTCACTTCTCTGACAAATCTAAAAAGAGTTGTTGATTTTTCAGTTCAGCCTTTTGTTAGGATGGAGAGATGACTTCCAAACTCCTTGCTTGCTTTCTTGGAAACTGGAAATCTGATTCCCCCCTCTCAGAATCCTAAGCATATCTGCAAAGTCCCTTTGCCAAATAAGGTAACATTCACAGGTTCAAGGGATTAGGATATGGACATCTTTGTAGGATCATCATGAAACCTAGCAGCTTTCAGCTTTTCAATTGCTCTTACAAATTGTGCTGTTAGCACTCTCAAATGCGTGTGGTGACAAATATGTTCTAATTTCTATTGAGTATGTATGTAGATATGGATTGCTGGGTCCATGACTATGTGTATATTAGATAAAGTAGTAGATAAAGCCAAACAGTTTTTCCAAAATGGTTATAAGAATTTCCCTTTCTGAGAGAAGATATATCTAATAAGAGTCTAGTGTCCGGGTTATATAAATAATTCTTAATTCAAAACAAGTAACCTAATGTTAAAATGGCCAAAGGATTTGAATAGACATTTCTCCAAAAAAGATATACATTCTCATTAGCAGTTGGGGAAATGCAAACCAAAACCACTTCACAGCCAAAATTAAAAATGAGTGTTGGCAAAGATATGGAGAAATTAGAATCCCCATACTTCGCTGGTGGGAATGTAAAATGTAAACTGGTAACCACTTTCAGGAACAATGTGGTGGTTCCTCATAAGAGTAAGCATGTAGTTACCATATGACCCAGCAATGCCACCCCTAGATAAATACCCACTGAATGAGAACATCCGTCCTCACAGAAACTTGTATACAAATGGCTGTAGCAGCATTATTCATAATAGCAAAAAGATGTAAACCCAAACACCTACCAACAAATGGATAAACAAAATGTGGCATATCCTACAATGGAATATGTTAAGTTATAAAAAGGAATGAAGTATTGATACATGCTACAACATGGATAAACCTTGAAAACATTGTTAAATGAAAGAAGCCAGTCACAAAGTCATGCTATAGGATTCCATTTATACAAAATGTCCAGAATGAGCAAATTCATTGAGACAGTAGATTAGTAGTTTGTCTTTAATTTTAGACATGCTGGCAGGTATACAGTAGGATCGCCTAGTGGTTTTAATTGTATTTCCTTGATAACTAACAAAGTGAAGCATGTTTCATGTTTATTGGCCATACAGATACTCTCTTTTATAAAGTACCCATTTAAGAATCTTAGAAGTCTTGACCTTTTTATTTTCTTTTTCTTTTGGGGGGAGAGAGGGTGGGAGGAAGGTAAAGGGGAAACTGACTTTTTCTTAACTGACTTATTCTTTATGTATTCAGGATGCTAGTCTTTGTCAGATGTGTATTGTAAATATCTCTCATTTGGTGGTTTGCCTTTTCACTCTCTTACTGGGATCTTTTGATGAATAGGAGTTACTGATTTTAATGTTCCATTTGTCAGCTTTTCTTTATGGTTTTTGCTTTTATGACCTGTTTTAAATCTTTTGCTGCCCTCAAGATGATGATATTCTATGATTTTTTTTTCTAAAAGATTTATTGTTTTAGTTTTCTACATTCCTGGGATTTATTTCTATGCATGCTGTGAAGTAGGGGGCAAGATTTTTTTTTTTTTAATGTAGGTATTCAGTTAATTCAGTACCATTGTTGGGAGAATCATCCTTCTTCACTGCGGTGCCCCCTTGGTCATGTTTCGTCCATTTGCATATACTTATGTTTCTGGACTTTCTACTTTCTTCTATTTGCCGGTTTGCCTATATTGTACCAATACTACAGTCTCAATTTCTGTCCTTTAGCTAGTAAACAAGTCCTCCAGTATTGTTTTTCCTTAAGATTGTTTTGATTCTTGACTCTACATTTCCATAGAAACTTTAGAATTAACTGTTCCACTCACACACACACACACACACACACATCACCCTGCATTTTGATTGAGATTGCATTGAATTTATAGATCAATTTGGAGTTCGCGGTCATCTTTTAAAAATTTTTTTTAATTTTTATTTATTTATGATAGTCACACAGAGAGAGAGAGAGAGGCAGAGACACAGGCAGAGGGAGAAGCAGGCTCCATGCACCAGGAGCCTGATGTGGGATTCGATCCCGGGTCTCCAGGATCGGGCCCTGGGCCAAAAGCAGGCGCCAAACCGCTGCGCCACCCAGGGATCCCCGTTTGCAGTCATCTTTAAGACATCTTCCAAACTATACACAGGAATATTCTTCCACTTACATAGATTTTCTTTAGTTTCTCCTAGCAGTATTTTTATTTTTCAATGTATTATCTTGCACCTCTTGTTGATAGATTCTTAAATCTTAAATCAGTGAATTATTTTACACTATCATAAATGGCATCCTTTTAAAATTTCATTTTATTTGTTGCTGGTGTAAAAAAATACAGCTTTATCATATTATCCAGAAACCTTATTCAAATCCCTTTATTAATGTAATAGGTCATGTGTAATTTATTATCTTTTTTTTACATGTCATCTGCAAATAGTTTTATTTCCTCCTTTTTAATGTTGTCTTGCTTTCTGACACTTGTACACAAGTATAGAATACTATAGAACCAATGAGAGGAAGCATCTTTATCTTGTTCCCCATCTCAGAGTGAAAGCTTTTAATATTCCACTATTCAGTGTATTTGCTGCATGCTTTTTGTAGATACTCTATCAAAGAAAGAAAGTTCTCTTCTTTCCTAGTTACTTTATATCATGAGTTTTATCATGAATGAGTGTTAAATTTTATAAACTTTTTTCTTTATTGAGATAATCATTTTCTTTTCTTCTATTAATGTTATCATTTACATTACCTTTTAAGAATATTAAGCCAACTTTGTATTCCTGAAATAAATCTAACTTGATGTGTTAGTTTTATTATATTGCTGGATTTGGTTTGCCAACATTTTATTAGGATTTTGCATTATGCACCTGAGAAAGATTGGCCTGTAATTTTCATTTGTCATCATATTTTTGTCAGTATTTGATATCAAGATTATGTTGACCTCATAAATCAAGTTGGGAAGTATTCTCTTTTTGTATTCTTTGTAAAGAGTTTGTGAAAGATTGGTGTAAAATCTTGTCAATTTGTTTCTTTAAAACTATCAGACATAATTTTTTAAGGCCCTTTGTGGAACTTGACAATAGCCCAAACAGTAATAAACATTACAGTTTTCTTATTTGGGCTTCATTTTTCAGAGAAATTACTTTTACAGTTTGCAAAATGCCAAAATACAGGAGTTCCTATTTCATGTAACACCTTATTAACGTCCAAACAGTTGTTCCCCTGCTGAAATAGGATGACAGTTGATGATGTCAGGGAATTCTTGCGGAATGTTTGATGAGACTTCTCTTCTCCTGTGGTCATAGTTATTTTAGGAAAAATTATAATCCATACATTAATAAAAAATACATGAAGTAATTAATGTGAAGAAGTACATGGAATTCAAGAATATGTTTAAAGATATTTCTCAGATAACTAGAGAATAGATACGATCATACTTTGAGGAATAATAGTTGATACTGTCCATTTTCTAAAAGTATGGCTACATAGGGAAAGAGAAGTATATACACATACATATATACACACTTACACATAAATTTGGGGCAGAGGGCAGCCCCGGTGGTGCAGCGGTTTAGTGCCGCCTGCAGCCTGGGGCGTGATCCTGGAGACCCTGGATCGGGTCCCACGTCAGGCTCTCTTTATGAAGCCTGCTTCTCCCTCTGCCTGTGTCTCTGCCTCTCTCTCTCTGTGTGTGTCTCTATGAATAAATAAATCTTTAAAAAAAAAAAAGATTACAAAAAATAAATTGGGGGCAGAGTAGTACCTTGATCCCATTGTATCACCAAAATCTTTTTAAAATTAAAATTCTTTCCTGTCTTCTCTTGTGTTAAGATTTTTTCTGAACTTCAAATACCATGATTCTCAAATTTGATCATTGGACTCCTTTACATGTGTATTTAATAAGGAGACTCCAAAGAATTATGTGAGTCATATTTTAAAAATAAATGATAATATGGATCATACTTATATTTGCCATGATAAAAAAAGCTGGAAAATGTTAAATATTCATTTACAAATAACAATAAGTATGTTACGTTAAATAACATTTTTTATAGAAAATAACTTTTATAAAACAAATGTATTGAAAAGAGTGTCATTGTTTTACATTTTTACAAATCTCTGTAATGTCTAGCTTAATAGAAGACAGCCGGATTCTAGTATCTGCTATATTATATCTGATGTGATATGTTGTTTGAATTCTATGAAGAAAATGCAGCCTCATAAATATATAGGTAGAAAAGGCAGAAGTATTTTAATAGCTCTTCCAGATAATTGCAGATTTTCTTTTTGGTTTCTAAAATGCAACAAGTCTTAGTTTTTTAAAGGTTAATTACAGTATGGAATTCATTGGTCTGACTTGTACTTTAAATGGATTTTTCCCCTTTGTGATTTTATAACATTATTTACTGGTCTTTTAGAAAATACCAGTTCACTGAGTTACAGAGTTCTTCCAGGTATTGACATGGGAACTATACACAAATTTGACATGTCCTATAGAATATCAAACAAATCACATTGTTTGCAAAGATCTCTTTAGAAAAGTTTAAGTGTGGGGCACCTGAGTGGCTCAGGTCATGATCCCAGGGTCATGGGATTGAACCCCTTGTCCAGCTTCCTGCTCCACGGGAGTCTGCTTCTCCCTCTGTCCCTCCCCCTGCGCATGCTCTCTCTCTCTCTCTTATTCTCTCCTCTCTCTCAAATAAAATCTTAAAAAAAAAAAGTTTAAGTGATAGGAAACTGTCAGGCTTAGTGACGGATATAAGTTTTCCAAAATCCTAATTTTTTCTGGAAAGTTCAAGTTTTATGAATGCAATGAATATTATCAGTTGTGGGATCCCTGGGTGGCGCAGCGGTTTAGCGCCTGCCTTTGGCCCAGGGCACGATCCTGGAGACCCAGGATCGAATCCCACGTCGGGCTCCCGGTGCATGGAGCTTGCTTCTCCCTCTGCCTGTGTCTCTGCCCCCCCCCTCTCTGTGACTATCATAAATAAAAAATAAAAAAATAAATAAAATAAAAAAAAATATTATCAGTTGTATTCCTTGTACTGACAAGCTCACTTCATTCATTTTAGAGAAAATACCTGCCAGATACTAAAGTCTGAAAAACCAGTTAGCCTAAAGTAGTAAATATGATAAATTTTGCAAGTAAATATGGTAAAATAAAGTGTCTAGTTCAGCTTATAACTATTCAATAGCACAAATGATTTTCCTTGAAACACCATTGTACTTCAGTATACAGCAAAAGTAATGTATGTACACTTCCCATTTCCTTATACAGCATTTGAATAAGGCAGGTACTAAATGATTACAACTTAATAAAACTAATAATTTTCACTTCATCAAGGGAATTCTTAAGTGAAATTGGGTTTTTTTTTTCCACATATGAAGAATACAATGGCTACAAATTCAGTTTTATGCTACTGCCTTGCTTCATGCTGGAATGCCAGTAGTTTTATTCTATCAGCAGTGCAAACAAATGTTCATACAGTGAAAAAGGCAAATGAACTCTTAGTAGTCTTATGAGCATAGTTTTGACCTCACACAAATGTTGCAAAGGTCTCCAGACCTCTAGGGGTCCTCTGATCCCCCTAAGAACTACTGTTATAATCCAAAGCCAAATTACTCCTTGATTTTGACCCATGTTGGCTTAGAATTTAAAACAAGGCTTTGATTCAGAAGTTTTGGTTGATATACTGTAGAATGTGACTCTTCCAAGCATTTTTTTTTTAAGTCTTTAATTCATGAAAGGCAGAGACATAGGCAGATGGAGAAGCAGGCTCCATGCAGGGAGCCTGATGTGGGACTCCATCCTGGGCCTCCAGGATCACGCTCTGGGGCTAAGGCTGGGGCTAAACCGCTCAGCCACCCAGGTGTCCCATTTTTCTATTGAAATGTCTTCAGTCTGTAATGCGACAACTTTGCCATAGTTAGCTGAGTTAGTCTTGTATACTGTGTTTTGTGTACGTGCACTCTGCTCTCTCCCAAGTTTTGCTCAGCCAGAAAGTACTATTTAGATGGTAGGTGATGATCTTTTGCTGCTCTACCACTGCCTGGTATTTGGAGCACACTTAATCTTCAAGTAAAATAGATATACTTCAGCCCTGCTTTGCAAGATGTCTGAATATCTTAGCCGCCACCTCCATGAGTATCTTAATGTACAAGACTTGCAGTGCCCACACACTGTGGAAAGAGCCAGAAGAGCCGGTCTACCTCATTTACTAATCACATGACTGTAGAAGAGTCATTTATTGTCCTAAAGCCTTAGTTTCATCACCTGGATGGTGGCAAGGACAACTTGTTCAGGTATAGAGTTACAAGTGAGGATAAATAAGATCGAGGGTGTGGAGGTGCTATATAAACTATGAAGTGCTACACAAATTTAAGTTTTTATAGCCCCAAAGGAAGGCATTTTAATTTACACAAACTTCATAAGTACTAGTCCCATGCATAAATTATTTAGATAATTAAGCAATTTTAGATACTACCCTAAATGTATTAGTGTAATTAGACCACTTCTGAAAAGCCTGCTGCCTTGTGTGCTTGTTTCTACAAAAACCAGTTTATATATATAATATATATATAATACGTATATTATACATATACATATATACATATATATATACAGTATCTAATACGATATATATATATATATATATAATATATCAGTATTAGATCAACTGCTAGCTATTTGTAAAGATGAAATTAGGGATCCCTGGGTGGCGCAGTGGTTTAGCGCCGGTCTTTGGCCCAGGGCGCGATCCTGGAGACCCAGGATCGAATCCCACGTCGGGCTCCCGGTGCATGGAGCCTGCTTCTCCCTCTGCCTGTGTCTCTGCCTCTCTCTCTCTCTCTCTGTGTGACTATCATAAATAAATAAAAATTAAAAAAAAAAAGCTTTCCTTTAAAAAAAAAAAAAAAGATGAAATTAGATCCATACTTGACATCAGTCACAAGAATAAACTCCAAATGTATCAGACCTAAATATAAAAGATGAAACCATAAAAGTACTAAAAGAAAATAGAAAATTATTTTGCATCTGAGTGGGAAAAGACTTTCTAACTTTAATTCAGTCTACATGCAATAAAAATTTTAAATTCAAGTACATAAAAATGATTGAAGAAAACATGATAAAAACTCTAAGCAAAGCCAAAAGGCAAATAAAATGTACAGAGAAAATATTTGTAATATATCATAGATAAAGAGCTAATATTCCTGGTACACAGGAACTCAAAATAAAGGTGAGGGAACCAAAATCCCTATAGAGTATATAAATAAGCAAAAGGCACGAACAGACAAATAAAAAATAATATAGAAATAGCCCTTGAACATATATAAACATGTTTAACTTTTCTTAGGAAGAAATGCAAATCAAAACTATATTGAAATATTATTGCTGCCTATTGGAATGAAAAAAATTCAAAAGCTTGACAACACTTTGTTGGAGATGTAATAAAGAAATAGATTTATTCATTGCTCCTGGGAGTGCAAAACAAATCAACTTTTAATGAGGGACATTTTAGTATTTGCACTCAAAATTTGCACTCAAACTCAGCAATCGTGGAACATATCACAAACTTTCATCTCTGACAATACAAAAATTGTATTCATACAGTTATTCATTGTGGCATTATTTGTAATTGCAAAGTATTGGAAACAACCTAAATGCCTAAACTAGGAAATTGGATGAATAAACTGCAGGACAGCCACACAATGGAGTGCTATGCAAGTATTCAGAAAAAAAAAAAAAAAAAAAGCTGATTTCCAAGAACTAATATGGAGCAACTTCCAGGATGGTATCTCTCTTTCCACTAAAGAGATACAGAAAAGATAACCAGAAAAAATCACAGTTTGTAACCTGCGGAGGCTGATTGGATGGAATGAGATGGAAGGGACAAAGACTTAGCAACCTTTCTCTATATGTACCTTTTCGTAGGTTTTTCCTTTGAGACCTTTGTTAATTTCTCACATTTTCAAGAAATAATAATTAACCACAAGGAAAAAACTCTAAGGCGGTTTTCCATGATTTTTAATGACACTGAGGCAAAGTCTTGAGCTTTTTGCCTTGCGATGACAGGGACTCCTGTGATCCAAATCCCACACTGGACCCCACCTTCT